TATATATATATAAAGACTTAGTGTTTTTGGAGAGTATTTGACCTTTTACTGCTTTACATTTACCAATGCGCATGCTCAGTCATTGTGGTCCAGATAGGATCATACTTCCGGTTCGTTGAAAGTCAAATATGTCTCATGTACCAATAAACCAAATAGGATTGCATTTAATTCATTTAAAAAGGAGGCAATAGACCATTATTTTCCCACCCCTGTCTGGAATAGCTAAAAAGGCTTTAACAAAGTGTTCTCACTCAATACACMTTTTTCTTATACAAATGCACATATGTTTAATAAAACTAGTCCTGACATTATACTGTATTGCAAAATAAAAATAAAAAATACAAGTAAATTATTATAAACAGGAATGGTGTTTATTAAGTTTTTCGTTTTTCCAGGCGAGTGAATCATCTTCTCATATTTAGACGATCGTGTTTTGTCCACGTGGTAAAGTTYTGTCCAATCAGGGGAAAGCGGGTGCGTTTTGAAATCAGCGGCAGATGACTGMAGTTCGTCGCGCAGTAAATAAACCKAGCTAATAGCCGATAACAGGAGTATCGCTGGTTCAAGATGTCAAAGAAACTAATTTACTATTCTGACAAGTACAACGACGAGGAGTTCGAGTACAGGTACTGATGTAGTCGAAGTTTTAAGGCATTTTAAGTTTTGTAATTTTGACAAATCTCCTCCAACGCCAAAATAATAATAATAATATTTGTTATTTTGGAACTACTATGTCAGTATGTGGCGCATTATAACATTCATATTTCGGTTTTAGTGGCCAAAAGGCTGCTGTAATGGAGTAAACAAACAAAATACATGTTATTACGTAACATAACGGTTAGCTAACGGCTAGGTTAGCCATGCTAACACTTTTCAGTAGCGAGTAATATTATTCGTTTTAATGCTGTGCCTTAATGTAAAATATTWATAAATTTACCTCCCAACAGGCATGTGGTGCTTCCTAAGCAGCTGTCTAAACTGGTGCCCACCACCCATCTGATGGCAGAGGAGGAGTGGAGAGGACTGGGGGTCCAGCAGAGCGAGGGCTGGATTCACTACATGATCCACAAACCAGGTCAGTCACCATCAGCCTGAAAGACCTCTTCCTGAAGTTTTCTGTTTCTGTTCTGTTGTTGGGCATGTCTGACAGTGTAGTATATTGCCAAAATAATCATAAAAAAAAAAAACTACAGGCAAGCAGGCATCAACAGCTTTTCTGGTAATAATAATAATAATAATAATAATAATAATAAGGATAACAACAACAATAATAATACATTTTATTTGTTAGCACGTTTCAAGATGCATAAGAACATGTTACAAAATGAAAGACAATGAGTACAAAAGTATGGTTGACCACAATGTAAAAGCACAGACTAAAAWTTGAAAACAAAGAAATTACTAAGAAATAGACAGTTTTGCAGTTTTCTGTGCGCACTGCATTGTGGGTAGGGGACAGAGGTTTATCCTTGTTAACTAGGGGAGTCCAATCTTGGTCCACCATGGCCGCTATCCTGCCTATTTAGCTTTTTTCCCTGTTCCAACACACCTGATACAATGAGTGAATTACCTCCTCAAGTTCTGCAGAGGCCTGTTAATCACCCATTCATTCAAATCAGGTGTGTTAGAGCAGAGAAACCCTTTAAAAAAGCTTGAGAACCAGGATTAGACTGGGTGCTACGAGATATCGAAAATACTTGATTGGTTTAGGTCCTACTGGTACTCACTATTTTATGCATTTTTCTATAAAATGGTCTATTAGAGGGTGAAAACTAACTTCAGCAGATGGGATTTGATAGAAAACTCAAATATACACATCTGTGTCTTTGTTAGATAAATAGAAAATATGCTTAAATAATCCTGTAATAACTCCTTTTTTCCGTAGGTTTAGCTAGCAGTTATGTAAAGGTTATACTGACACACACTCCTTTTTTCTTTATTCCTCAGAGCCACACATACTACTGTTCAGGAGGCCTCTCCCAAAACAATGAATGGGAATCAACTTTAAAATATGTATCCCCTTTGTTTGTTTTTGTTGTCATTTGACCGTGCAGGTCTTTAACAATTTGTCTTTTATTTATTTATTTTTTATATATATGTTGGCATGTATTGTTTGAGGAAAAAGCAGTACTTGTTTTAGTGTGGTGCGCTTACAAAATGTATTTTTTTGTTTTGCTGAGGTGAAGAGAGGAAGAAGTCTCKGTTTCAGCTGTGAATATTTACCTGATATAAACTACAAGAGCTTACTGAGCTAGTTGYACACTTTGAACAATTCTTTCAAAATATCTTTCCATGTTGTAAATTGCTCTGTGTTGTCAAGATTTGATCTGAGCAACATGTATCTAGTAAAAACTTGTATTTTTCTTTAAATATTATTGTTTGAACTTGTGTTTGTGTTATGTGCTTATAGATATTAGACATTTTGTCAGTGAGTTATGGTTAATTCAACATGTACTTTCTTACTAAAAGAACAAAATAAAATATTTTTGGTCACATTTCTCACCTTTTTTTATGCAGTTTTTAAAAATATATAATGTTTTGGACTGTTTGACGTTCAGTCAGAAAAGCCAACAATTAACGGGGTGACAAACTCAGAGTGTCTGACGCCCATGGTGTAAGCTGGCGCCTTGGACTTGTGAACTGTGACTTTCTCAGGGTTATAAGATCCAGGGCCGGGTTTTTCCGTGCCGTTCTTGTGTAAATCGTGACGTCCTAAAATGGAAAACGCCGGCTGTCGGGAAAGATAAACGTTGGGGTCCGTACTGTTGTAGCTGCAGGGTCCAGGTGTCTTTGCTAACTCCACGGATCGCCCCCCTCGGCTGAAGCTACCTGACATGGTGTAACTGGCACTGGCCCGCTTGTTCGGGACATGAGGCCCCAGGAGTGGAGGCAGGCTGTACTTATTGGGAGCGGGGACAGGGTCCAGGCAGCGGTACTGGGTACGAGAACCTATTGTGTAGGCCGGGGGTCTGGTCTGCAGGTTGCACGGGGGTGCTCTCTCAGGGCTGTATGCACCAGGTCCAGGTGTGTGGAACAGCTCTTCTGGGGACCAGAGAAAAGTAAAGCCAGTATGATCACACTGGACCTCTTTAAACCTAATGGTTTTTATACTTAAAGAGACATTAGGTTGTAATTTCAGGTTGTTTTAGGAATATTTACATAAACATAGATTATTTCTTTGGTGTAACAAGGCTTCTTGGCAATAAATCTGATACAGTTGGAAAGCCTGTTAATTTCCCTTTTATATGTCACATTTGTAAGGAACATGCATTTGTGGGATGAGCAGTAGAGCTGAGTATGTAAATTTGCCAAATCTCTGCTTATTTTGCTGTTATTGACACTTCTGATACCCCCAGGTGCTGCCAATCAGATGCCTGATATAAGATTTATTGCCAAGAAGCATTGTTACAACAAATAAATAATCTACCAAACACAAATTTACTTATGTTTTGTGCTAAGTATACAAATATGCTCAATTAGAGGAAAGGAAAACCTTACTTTGAGCTTTCATTCTACTCAACATTGAAAATGCAGGAGAACCAGTCTTTCCAAAACGAGTGATTTTTGGGTCAACGTGATATCGAGGTCCTGGACTGGAGTCGACAGAATACACTGCAAGGAAAACATTTATGATCAACTAGGTGTGATATTTACGTGTTTGTTTCAGTCTTGAAAACAAAATAGTTGGGGGAAAAATGGCAAAATCCTTATGTGTTGTCTCCCCCTAGTGCTTCAGATGAGATCACACAAGTGGCAGACAAACTGATGTGATGTAAGGTAAGGTGCTCTAAAACAAATTGAAATGCACCGTTTGTTTAAAACATTTTCTGAAAGGATAAATAATAAAATGTACTATAGTCCCAGATATGGGTGAGAGAAAGAAACAGACTCACTCTTATTACTGATTCTGCCATGGAAAGAGTACGCAGGGCTGGTTTGTTTCGTGAAGTCGTGGCCAACATATCCAATGGTTGGAGGAAGTCCATAGCGGCCGGGTCCTGGCCCTGGAGACCAGTGGAAATGCTTGATGGGTGTAGTCATTAACAGAACACACTTTATGTATGTGAGCCATCACATGGAACCAAGGATTAGGTCACAAAGTGGTTCGTGGAGAAACAGTACACGGTGTTTTGGTTAAATTGAAACAACTGGCTTTTAACAGAATAATGTTTAAAGGAAATATCTGAAATATAATTGTAGAATTTTTCTGAAGCCTTGTTTGAACAGTAGCAACAAATCATGTGATTTTGAGCAGAAAAGCCTTACATTTTTTATCATTTTCTCTGTGAGCCAGCAAAGCTTCTTGTTTTTCATTGCCTGGGAACTCAGTATCCAAATAGGTGACCCGTCATATCGAAACAAGGATTAATTCTAAAGGTGGAATGTGGAGAAATAGGCAGATATAGTGTGTTGATTAAAACATTTGCAAACATTGCATTTTGTCAAAAATATAATAAATAATAAAATAAATTATCAATGTATCATTTAAATGAACTGTCTGAAATATAATCCTAAAAAAATGGAAGCACTTTTTTTTTGAGCATTAGCAACAAAAAACCTTATTTTGGGGAAAAGTGCTTTAATTTTTTTTTTGAGATTTTCCCTGTGAGCTATTGAAGCTTTTATTTCTTTCTCAATCCCAATCTCAATATTTATATACTGTTTGAGGTTTCCTCTTTATAATGACATCGGAAATTCCTCATTAAAGGCCCTGTCACACTAGACAGCTTATGCCAATTTATGAAACTTTTTTTGTCTAAATTGTTAATAAAAGTTATATATTTGATCAAATTGTTTGAATGACATTATTTACATGTGTGTATTATGTAGCTTACCATCATCAGTGTGTGAATGTGTGTGTGAATGGGTGAACGTCTGTAGTGTAAAGCCCTTTGGGGTCTGGAAGGACTCAAAAGCACAATAGAAGTTCAGTCCATTTTACCATTTTTACATGCCGAAAAGAAGGTTCCTGTTGATTTTTTCCAATTCCATTTTCAATGTAGACATCTTTAAAATGTTCATAAGCTGAGGTGTGGCAGGGCCTTAAAATTACATAAAATTAAGGTTCCAACCAAATACTAATGTATCATTGTAACCAACAAGACAAATTATGTCATATCTCGGGATCCACTTTTGATATTAGAGTGATCCAGGTATCAAAACGTATAGCTTTTAAAGCCAGGAACCGGAAAATTTTATAAGGTCCTTTTGGCCACATTTGACTTAATCCTCATTTCGATACAGGTCACATATTCTTTGAATTTTGCTTTTTAAAATRGTGTCAAAAAATCCTCATTAGAATGACATATAAATAGAATTCAGACCAAATATGAGTTATCCTGATTAGGAAGACAAATCAAAGCATATCTCTGGAACCACTCATGAAATCAGCATGATCAGGTTTCAAAATGTAGCTTAAAAAGCAGAAATCTCAAAATGTGCTGAGGTCATTTTGACCTCATTTTAATCCTATATGATAGGTCTCAGAGTCATTTTTCAATTTATAAAGAAAAATACAGAAATTTGTGTAAAATTTACAGTCAGTTTTGCATAAGGCTGCTGGCATGAAAATATACATTATGGTATTGGTTATTTTTAATGTACCAAAGATGTTTTTCAGTATGACACTCCTATCCTGTCAAAGTCTGGGTGTGTTTCAGTAAGAAAACCCAACACCAACAATAACTAATAAGCTGATTAAAAAAAAAACATGACATCATCATGCAAATCTTCAGTGGAATGTGCAGAAGCAGAGCTGGAGGGTGAATATTTTTTTACCAGAACAGAGTGAGTCCTGGCCAGTCCACACGCTGAAAACTTCGACTACGCTCCAGGCAGTTTTTTTTAAACACAACACAGCTAATTTATATGCTGAAACACAAATAATCAGCAGCTTACCTTTTTCTTTCCCTGCAATTGTTGGATATTTTTTCTCCATTTGACATATAAATGGGATGGAAGCTTCAAGAATCCAGCAATGCTTGCAGTGCTGCAGAGATATCCACCGATCGTGTCAGCGTTCGTGTAAATAATGAGAAACACCTTGAAAATAAGCTTTAACACCTCACCAACAGGTAAGTCCTCTTTTCAGACAAATGTGAATAATCTATCAGATGAGTGAATAAAGGAGCAGCTTTCTTCTTAATCCAGCATGGTGGTCTTCTTTCAGGTGTCTCATCTTCAAATAAAAAAAAAAAACCAGAACCCTGGCTCGCACACAATCAATTCCCAATTTCCCCTGAAGCAATCAGGAAACCGGACACCAATAATACGCTTCAAACTGTCAACCGCACTTCAGACTCTTTAACAGCAAGAGTTTAATCCACCTGCCTTTGGCCCCTTTTTTTTGTCCAAATCACCCCCCACACCGTAGTGTGGCTCAGACAGGTGAATGGCCCGCCTGCCAAAGGGATGGACGTACAGGTTCACTCAGCTCAGAGGCAATGTCATCACTCTGATTCACTTGCATGTAACGCTAGCTCCCCCGCCCCGCAAACCATCCCCCTCCTTTCACTCTTTCTGCTCATCACAGGGCGGCCGTGCAGTATCACTCTTCAGTCAGGCATGCAGTTACCACAGAGACCTTGTTGCACCCAGGTCCCCTGCAACGCTGGCTCGTTTTTTCAATTGGAGCAAAGTGCTTTATTGCTTGATGGAAACCAGGTTGACTGAACTAGAACAGGGATGGGCAACTTAAAAAATGGAAGGGGACACGTTTTTTTTGTTGACACTACCAGAGGGCCAAACAGCGCCGCACACTGACCCAAATGTAATAAAATTGTCATTTCGCAAAAAGCCATGTTTACCACTGAGAGGCCTCCTCTCTTTTAAATCCTTAACAGTCTTTGTTCCACCAGTGGGCAAAAACTGTGAAGTTTCTGCCTTTAAACGTTTCCGGACGTTTCCAGATGCTACCGGGGGGCTTTTATTTGAAAACCAGGGTGTCAGAAGACTTCCTCTAGTTCCTATCTTCAGCTCAACACCCTTACAAAAAATAAAAATGTCAAAAGGCTTTTAAGGAATTTCAGAGCCAAATGTCTGTAAATATTTAAGAACTGAGGAGACCAGCTGCTGGAGTTTTTGTAGGGGAATGTCCCATTCTTGTCTGATGTAAGATTTTAGTTGTTCAGTTCTGGTTCCTCCTGTCTTCCTTTTTTTGTTGTTTCATGATGCATGAAATGTTTTTGATGTTTTTTAGTGAGAGGCCTGGGCTGCAGGAAGACCAGTTCAGTGTTGTAGTAATGGATTGTGGTGGACCAGACTTAAACCAGGACAAAGTTGTTCAAAAATGGAAAAAAGTTCAATTTAATAATGTCAAAAAATACTTAACAAAGGGCCAAACTCCAAAGGAAAAAATTAATCAAATGATAAATGACACAAATTCGACCCCAACCCAACTGAGCTCAACTGAACAGTAAGTAAACAAAAAAAAAAAATAAAATAAAAATAACTGACCTCCTGACAAAGACTGCTTAAATAGGGGTGGAATAACCTAAACTTGCCACATGAGGGAGGTACAACAGGACAAATAAATTAAAATGTAGCAAAAAGAACAAACACAATAAAGCAAAATAACTTTAACTTAGCACAAATAATTACAAGTGAATATCAAAGTGTCACAAATTAAACAATTAAAGGTCAAATTTAACAAATAAAGTCCACCCCCTAGTCCTTTGAAGTGGTTAGTTCCTTAATGGCTTCAACACCTCCAGCTGGTCTCTGCTTGCAGAACCTCAAAGAAAAACAAGTGTAAGTAAACCACTCAGACAAATATTAACTAAAGTGTGCACCCAGTAGAAAATATGTCTAAATAAAATAACTTAAAATAACTTACACAGAGTGTCATCTGTAACTAATAAAATAAATCAGGAGAATTTAGACCGACAGTCCTTCAAGGCCACGTAGGGGAGAGCTGAATCCGTAATCACAGTGACAGTTGTTTGGGAACAGAGAAAATGTTTTCGGTCAGGCAGACAATAATAATTTTCCATCTGCCTTAATGTCCTCTGGTACATCTCAAGGTGGCGAATCCAATCAGACAAATAATGTGGGCAATCCCGCCGAGCCGAGCTATCAGCTTCTCCAAAATCAATTCCATCTCACCACCAAAGTCCAGGGACCTCAGCTGGCCCGCGACCCTCAGCAGAACCGCTTGCAGACCAAGTCCAGCTCGCACAGGGCGTGAGCCTGAGTGCTGAAAGCACGGCAATCCTTCATATTGGTCAGGCAGCCAGGAAATGAACAGCCACTGACGCTGTTTTGTAGAACACCGAGAAGGGGTTATCTGCAGAATCAAAGTGGGTGTGTCACAAGAGTGGGCGTGTCAAAAGCATAAACACTGTGGGCTACGAGGCCTACATGACGGTATCCTTAGATCCTGCTTGACCTCTTTACAGCCTGACCTTGACTCCAACACTAAAGTTAACCAGGAGAAATGTGACCCAAGGAGGGTTCTCCAGAAAAAGTGGTGCCATACAGTAACGCCCCTTTTGTTCTTGTCCAATCAGGTGGTGCCGTACGGTATCGCCCCTTTTTTGCTTGTCCAGTCAGGTGTGTCCCTTTAACAAAGTCCGTCAAATCAGGTGTGTCGCTTTAGAATCGCCTTTCCTTGTGACATGCCCACTCGTCCGCAGAGACCCCTACTTGAGAATACCAGGAGCCCACCAAGCCAATCTGTAGAAATCCAGTGATCAGAATCCAATAAATGCTAGTTGAACAGCAGAACAGAGGGCCCACCTTTGACATGTCCTCGTTCCAAAAATTTATTAAGAGACCAGCTAACCAAATCCATAAAAATTTTGGTTTTGGATGAAAACATAGAGGAGGCTCCGAGCAGCAAAGCAGGGGAAATAAGGGAGTGCAGAAGAGAGAGAAAAAGCGTCTTACTCCTCCGAGAGCAGAAAAAATAAAATAACATTATTAGCATTTTAGCAACATTAGCTTGCTTAGCTAAAACGCTAACCAACTGACGGTTAGTTTTGCCTTGCGGTCAAACAGTTAGATCTGATGTTGCGAATAAATACAATGAGTCAGTTGACTATTGTAAACATCTCTTTATTTTGATGAAAAACAAAAATGTTCATGTAGCTGACAAATGCAGCAACAGTGAAGTCATAAAAGGTAAATTTAGTGTTTAATTAAACGTTAGCTTGTGTAGCTGAAAGCCACAATCACCGTTGGTTTCAGCTTGTGTTTTGAGTCAGTCTGCTTTAACTGTATCATTTCTTTTTTTAATTAGTTCTGGGAGGTCATAGGCTTTTTAGAGAAGCGTTGTTGCCATAAAACACAAAAGTACCTTTTTTCTCAGAATATTTTTGATGTATATATTTTGATTTGTTTTCGTTTGTTTTAAGTGTCTTTGTTTTAATTACACAGTTTTTTGGGTGTTTTATTGACTGAGACTGTACAGCACTTTTTGGTTGTTTAAATGCTTTAAAAATAAAATTGGTATGGTAAAATGAAGGTATAACGTCTCAACTTTTTCAGAATCGGGAGGTGTAATCAACAAAGTCTGCCCAGATGTAGCTCCAATTGAGCCCCGATTGTCCCAAACATTTGTGATTTGCAGGACTCAAAGATGGACGTAACAGGAGGTGCAGTACTTCGACGTTAATCTTTAACGTGCTCCAACTGTCGCTTTGGAGACTCGAATCTGTTGTCAGCAGTAAGAAAAACGCATCCACTGTCAACAATGTCTAAACGAAAACAAACACGCTCGGATGCTTTCAGTCTCTAAGACAGAAGTGTGTCAGGTCAGAGAGCAGGATATTTCATAGCAGAACCTCTGTTTCTGGGAAATGAAATGAAATAAATAAATAGATAAATAAATAAATAAATATTTGCACAGAATGCACTGTTTTGTTTTTTTAATAGGAATGTTCAAAACTTGACCAAAAGGACTTCAAAAGCCTGCATTATTTAGAATAAATTTTATTTACATTTGTTTCAAAAGTCACAATCTTTGATATGAATCAGAGTTACATTTAAATCAAATTTGGTGTTTTTTACGTAAATCGAAAACATTGCTGCTAATTTGAACTTGATTGCTTTAAGAATCCAGAACTACACGCAGACACAAAACGAAATAGCTTATGATCTGTACAAATAAATCTCCTTGAAAGACAGGTAAACAGTGAGCAGTGTAAGCAGAGTAGTTTTAGATATAGCAAAAGCAACTTTGCAGTAATTAATCCAGTACTGGGACATTAATCTCATCAGCTGTTTCAGTTATGGACTTAAAGCCTCCCTGTGAAAGAAAGAAAACCTTGGAAAGCTCACAAGGGAATAAAATCAGCTGCATGATGGGGAAGGACTTAAAAAGTTATAAAAATAAAATAATATGACTTCTACCTACAAATAAATACCACAGATAGAAAATATAACAAAACATTTTGCTTAACATCAGGTGTAATTACAAACATAAATACTTGATTATTGGAGTGGAGATAAAGGAATAACAAGGGATGCTATGGTGCTTATTGAAGACTAGGAGAAGAAAAGTCCAGAGGATTCTAGCTTAATAA